AGGAACTGATTCATATAAACACACGCACGCCGTTTCATTATCTTTGTCGGGACTCTCCATATGCGTAAAGGTTTTTATACTGTACACACTATATTTTCTATCCCCTACACTAAATCCACCGCTAAACCTACCCATCACATTTTTAAATTTTCCAAAAAAATGATCATTTAGTATGTTTATTAATCCATTTCCCCATGGGGACCGCTGCCTGGTCCCCACAATGTAATGTAATCACACACACACACACACACACATCTCAGAAGCCAGCTGGGCGCCTGTGCTGAAGTTCCTGTCCTCTCGCCTTTCTCCCATAATTCCCTGTGCTATTTCCTCATGATTACTCTTTTGAGCTGACCATGGATGAACAGAAATCTGCTCCCACAGCCCCGTAACCTACATTTCATTCTGCTGTATGTATCTGTTGTAACAGGACAGTCTGAATTGTTTTCAGTCCTCAACATATTGCTTGTCTTTCTACATAGATTTTTATACTCTTAAAAATAAAGGTTCTTTACTGGCATTGGTGGTTCCACGAAGATGTGACTCTCCTGTTTGAACTCCTTTATCAAAATGATCGAGTCTTTTTTCGTGCCAATGAACAAAATGAACCAGTTGACTTGGGAAAAGATTTGTTCATTTTGATGAACGAGTTCGAATAGGAGAGTCACAAACATGCATCACAAAACAGAGCAAGGCGACCATTTGAGCTTATAAAACTTATAAAAACTTATACAAATTTTTTTTTTTTTTTAAATGAGTGATCGTTTCGCTTGATAAGACCCTTATTCATCGTCTGGTGTCGTTTAAAGCCCTTTGAAGCAGCACTGAAACTCTCATTTGGACCTTGAACCGTTTGTTTCCCATTGAAGTCCATTATATGGAGAAAAATCCTGGAATGTTTTCATCAAAAACCTTAATTTCTTTTCGACTGAAGAAAGAAAGACGTGGACATCTTGGATGACATGGGGGTGAGTAAATTATCAGCAAAAGTTTTTTTTTTTTTTAAAGTGAACTACTCCTTTAAGTAGAGCATTTATTTAGAGAGAAAACGCACTACGCTGACAGAATGCAAGTGAATGACGTCATTAATATGCTAATTGACGTATGGCGTCATCTAGCGACATTTAGAGACTTTTAGGGAAGGCCTTAGCTACTTTCCTTTGAAAATAGATGGCAACACTGATGGCAACACGGCATAATATAGTGATCTTTGCTTGAATAGAGGAGCTAAAGTGCACACCCGCTGCTCCCGCTGTTACTGTGCCAAGGTGCGGCTGGCTCGTGCTGCTCGCGAACAGGTGTCTTTCCATGAACCCCAGCATTACCCCGCTTGGCACGACCCGGTAAACAGTTGTCAAACCCTGTGGGCGTCCGAATGTGTCACCAGCCTCCATCACGAGATCGTGTGGCACCGGCTTCCACCTCGAATGTGGGTTTTTGGCCACACTGAACATCGTGTGTATGTGTTTTGGTAGGAGGCTGACCGCTGACCACAGGAGTGTTTAAATAGGACTGTTCTGTGTGTGACTCACATGTTGGAGGAGTCACCAAACATCTGTGCCTGGCTGGAGAAAAAGAAAAGAAAAAATACTAGCACATGCTGGCATTTTGCTAATACACAATTGATCATGATTCATGATCGTGAAATGCAACATTCGAGCCTTCCGCGTGAAGCTAAACGTGGTAATTTTCTTGGTAAGTGTGTGTGGGGGTGGTGGGGGGGTTTAGTGGTTCATGATTTAAATCTTCACAGAGGGAAAATTATATTTTATAAATGTTGACAAAGGTGTTGCAAGCCACATAATTAGACCATAATCATTTTTTTCCCTACATTTTCTGCAGTTTACATTCATGTCAAAAGTTGTGTGCACCTATTTTAGTGATATCAGTGAGGTAAAGTGTGTGATTTTCTTTAAATCACTCACAGCTCCACTAAATATTAGGTGATGTCACGTATTAATGGAAATGAGTTGCTATGTGAATGTGTAAGTTGGATGATTAATGATGTAACCTCATTAAGATGATGGACTTACATTCCCAACAGTGAACAACTGCCATCTGCTGGAAGACTTCCGCCACTACAGGTAACTGTTTATCAAAAAATAAAAACGTTGTATTGCTTTTTAAATATATATATATATATATATATATATATATATATATATATATATATATATATAATAAATAAACGCATACATGCATGCATGCATACACCACCGTGTTATGCCATGTTTTTCTTTTCATCTGATGATGATGAACATAACATTTTGTAGAATAAGTTGAACGAGAGGATTCAAACATACCCGAAAACATCAGATTGTTCCCCTTGAACCATATTATACCGACTGTTAATGATGTAAAAACTGCTGGAATGATTGATTTGTATACCGTGTTTGAATTTATTTAGCCTGATTTGTTTATATAATTTATATATATATATATAGTATATACACACACACACACATGTGTTAATGTGTGTGTGTGTGTTACAATGTTGTCTTGAATCTTGAGTCAATGATCTGAGGATTCATGTGCATTTTGCTGACTTGTAGTCAGAGATCTAATGTTGGCACGTCATTGAATGATTTCCATAACATTGGCATGTCATTGAAAAGATCATTCTGAGTTCATTCTCACACTGACCCAGTCCAAACCTCCGTTCTGCTGCTACTTTCTGAGTTTTGAGGCCAAAGGAAGCTAATTATACAACAGTGAATGTCGCACATAAACACGAGGCCACCGCTGTGCCACCAGGACATGATATATGTGGGTCACAGAAGCTCCCTGCACCTTATTTATTCAAAACCTGGAAAAAAAGACCTGGGAGAAACTTGAATTGAGTGGGGGTGGTGGGGGTGTTTACAGAGATCAGAGATGGAAAGTCTGTGAAAAACGTGTGTGAAGATGCTGTTTTCATGTGCAGTGCGCCCTCTGTGACAAAATAACTCTTATCTACGCATTAATTTTTCATGCCGCTCGGCCTGAAACGTGAGGACGGTGACAACAGGAAGTAGACCGGAGAATAGGAGTTGTGTCAGGCAACATTTGATCTGATTTATGAAAGTTACAGAGCGCCACATCGCCAGCTGCAACAGAGATGTAGAACGAGTCTTTTTTTACGAGTCATTTAACGAACAAAATGAACGAATTGACTCGAAAAGATTCGTTCATTTTGATGAACGAGTTCGAACAGGAGAGTAATGAACGCGCATCACAGAACAGAGCAAGGCGAGCATTTGAGCTTATAAAACTAAAACTTTGTTATTTTTTTTTTTTAATGAGTGATCGTTTTGCTTGATAAGACCCTTATTCATCATCTGGGATCATTAAAAGCCCTTTGAACAGTTTGCACCGAAACTGTCTTTTGGACCTTGAACCGTTTGGTTACCAGTAAAGTGTGGAGAAAAATCCTGGAATGTTTTCATCAAAAACCTTAATTTCTTTTCGGCTGAAGAAAGAAAGACATGGACATCTTGGATGACATGGGGGTGAGTAAATTATCAGCAACAGTTTTTTTAAAAAAAAAAAGTGAACTACTCCTTTAAGATTGAATCACTGTAGTCACTTGGACTATTTTAACAATGTCTTTAATAACTTTTCAGAGGTCAACAAGTTTCAATCCCTCAAGAAGCCTATGGACTAGTATGGAGGAGTGATCCAGCTCTCAGATTTCATCAAAAATATCTTAATTCATGTTCCGAAGATGAACGAAGGTCTTGCGTGATTGGAACAACATGAGGGTGAGTAAATACTGATACAATTTTCATTTTTGGGTGAACTTTCCTTTTAAGTCACGTAGATGAATAAGTCTGTTTTGTGGCCTTGTTTAAATGATGGATGGATGGATTTGTGAGTTGTTTTAAACTGCTGTTTGTTCTTTATTAAGATGAAACAGCAATTTGAGCTAATTGGGGTGGACATACTTGGAAAAGTTGCCCTGACTACATCTGGCAACCGGTACATTTGTGTCCTGGTGGATTACTTCATCAAATGGAGTGAAGCATATCCCATTCCAGCCAAAACAGGTAAAAATGTGGAGCATCCTTAAGTTTTTCTATCACTTTAGGGCTCCCAAACGAATTTTGACTGACCTGGGGCAAGGATTTGTCGATCAGGTATTTAAAAAAAGGATACCTTTTCATATGAAGTGAATTTACAGACTGCAGAACCATCTTATAATACAATTTTACACAATATAACAATGGTTAAGAGCAAACTGTGCATTACCACGAAAAATAACAGATCAACAAGGCAAGTGTGTGCTTTGTTTGGAAACCAAAGCAGTCTTTGTGCACCCTCACATCCACAGACGAATGGAGACTAATGAAACAAGAAGTAAGATAAAAATGTTTTTGAATTAAATAGATAGTCCACCCAGAAATGTTCTCATCCTCATGTCATTCCAAGCCTGTATAATTTTCTTTTTTTCGGTGGAACGACATTGGTACGAAGTGGCTATCCACCTTAAAATAAAAGCCATGTCTTTATGAGTGGCCACATACAATTGAGGCACAAGAAATAATAACATTTTATACATTTTGATAAAGCATTCGTAGAACTCGTACCTACAGCTTGTAAAATGGGAATTTTCTGATTATAGCTCCAACTTGTACCACCTGACCTCTGCAGATTCATTTAGGCATTGATAATGTTGCCAAAGAAACACTTTCCAGTCCAAGGATGTGAACAGCTCCGGAAATAAACGTCACGTGTTGTCGGTAATTACGACATGGCGTGAACGCAGCAATACCTCATGTCCATGTCAGCTTGTCATGTTGTGCTGACATTTATTCTTACAAAACATCAACTGGTTATATCAGCTTGAGTGGATCGGTGTCCATGACAACTGTGAATCAAGCAAACCAACAGCAGAAAGGGCATAGGAGGTTCAGGATGTCTAATTGAACCACTTCTGTGAGAGTTCAAGGTGTCTCGTCTTATTAAAACGAGACATCTGTCATAACGTCACATACTGAAGAAAACAAACCAGGACTTTTGAATAGGGGAAATCAACTTCATCTAACTTTATTCATCTTTTTGTGTTTTTAATGCACAGTCCTGCAACTACAGTACAGACACAAAAGAGTCATAAATACTGTACAATACATAACCTACAAGTACATAAAAGCGTTAGTGAACCAAACACCACTTAAATACAGACATACATTAGAGTCTAGGATGACTTAGTGAATATATGGATAGCAAATATTAACATTTAAATGTATATATATATGTATAAAAGACTATGTTAGGAATGTGAAGAATAGAAACACTTAAATGAAAGAAGAAAAAAATGTGATGTGCTTTACAAAACTTCCTAAAACTCGCCAACATCCACCCTTTTGTCCCGAAACTTGTTCCTGGCCTTGGTTCGAGCTTTAAACGCTGCTGCATTGTAGAGGTGCTATAAAAAATAAATAGATAAAAAGTCATAGAATTTACATAAGTAAATCTTAAAACGCAGTGCAGTGTAAAACAACCACATGTGGAAAAGAAACCGCTTGCTTACTCTCTCCAGTCTGGAGCTCTTCATGGCTTTCAGAGCGGCAGAATCGATCAACATCGGTGGTCCAAGTTCAAACACATCTCTTATGAACTCGTTGGCCTGCGGTCAGAAAATTACACTTCTAAAATACTTTGAAGATTTCCTTTCTGGATGTATTCTCAACATCTGAGAGCTTTACCTGTAGATGGTAGTTCATCCCGGAGCCTACAAACTCTCTGAAGGTGTCATAAGTCCTCTTCCTCACCCAGCTGTCGATGACCATACGCTCTGTGCCGAAGCGGATCGTCTCGCTCTGAAAATCCCCTTCCTGTTCCCGACACAGAAGAGACGTCAGAGTCTGAATCACAGCACCCACGAGTCTCCTGTCAATTATTCAGTTCCCGTCTCACCTCTACTGCCTTGAGGACATCTCTAAAGACAGATCTTTGCTTCCTCTTATCATTCTTGGCTCGATGTTTGTTGCAGTCAGTGGCTAATGCATTCAGCTTCACACACAACGACTCCCAGTCGTCATGATCAAACTCCTGTGAAGGTAAAGGAAATTAGTCATTTGCAAATTATTTACATTCAATGAACTATTAAAACAAGTCAATTATACAAATGTATTAATTGAATACGTTACATTAATTAATATACGCACGCTGCGTGAGAAGTTATCCGAGTTAATACTAAATTGAGTTCTCTTAAGTCTTCTTACGTTTAAATGCCATATTCGCATAATTTGTGCAACTTTGTCAGAGTATCACAGTAAACAGTCAATTATGTCTTAAGTGAACGTAAACGGTATCAGTATATTGGATCTGGGCATTGTGTCTTAATGTGACAGCAGCCTAATATTCCTGATGCAGCCTGTTTTTAATGTTAATCAAACAACAAAAGACCAAAAAAGCACTCATTGCTCTTGAATGAATACATTTTGTAATTTTAAGAATTAATCCATTTAACTTATACAGTGAAGATTATATGCAATATTATTTGATAACTTTATTCAATTTTTTATACCTGAAAACTACCGTTGGACTTGTTTGTATTTTTGCTTGTTGTATGTATTTGTGCTATTACTTTTAGTTTTGTAGTGATTATTTGTTCTTTTTTTCTTGAGTTTTATTCAACAGTAGTCCTTTTGTTCCTGAACATAGCACATACTGAACTGTACCGACTCTGTGAGCCTAAAACCATGATACAAACCAAACCGTGACACCCCTAATAAAATAGTATATATATTTTTAAATGTAAATTAATATTATTTCTATTATTTAAATAAATCCAATTAATTAAATAATTACACAACTTACAGGGTCGACATCTCTGATGAGCTCAAACAGGAGGGCGATGGTCTCCCCAGCAGCAATCCTCATGTTGACATCGTCATTCTCCAACAGACGTGGAAGTTTAGCTAGATGTCTGAAAAACAGTAGTATATGCTTGTTAGAATAAACCTGGAAGGAGGTTGTATCATAGTTGTAGGTCCCAAAGTCTCCTGAAAGACCAGTACCATGAAGGAGCTAAGGCATAAAACTGTGTTTTCCTGCACTTACTTTCGTGCAATGTCTCTGATGTGGCTGCTGGTGCAGATGGTCAGCAGTAGAGCCCAGGACAAGAGAGCATTCGTGTGGAGCTGTGTGGTCTGAGGATTCACAGAAGGTCTGCTTCCATCTTCTCTGACGTACGAGTGGGTGAAGAGGCTCTCAAAACACTCCATAGTGGCATACACATCCTGGAGGTGACAACCATCAGCTTTGAGTCAATTGTGAAACCCTTCAACATGTTTACGGTTTACTCCAGAACCACTTGATCATTAAATCAACAAACTAAAATTAATCAGATTCCTGAATGAAATGTATCAGGAGTGGTCAACCAGATGAATGAAAAGTATTGCCTTAATACTTTAATAGTTCACAAATGATGTGGTTCTCAAATTCAGCTCACTAATTCAATATCTGTTTTCACAATATTTTATATTCATATTATTAACAGACATTGTCGCCATTAATGTTCACTGTGTATGGAGATGTCCTCACTTCAAAACACGAAATCCATGGGGAGGAGTTGGATTCAAATCTAACTCCTCCCACCTTATACCTAATAGCTATCCATCTCCGCCCCCTGATCCCTAACCCCACACATCTCGGCCCCCTGATCCCTAACCCCACCCCTTATCCTACCCATCTCCACCCCTGATCCCTAATCCCTAACCTTAAACATCTCCGCCCCTGATCCCTAACCCCACCCCTTATCCAACCCATCTCCACCCCTGATCCCTAATCCCTACCCATCTCCACCCCCTGATCCCTAACCCTAAACATCTCCGCCCCCTGATCCCTAACCCTACACATCTCCGCCCCCTGATCCCTAACCCTACACATCTCCACCCCCTGATCCCTAACCCTAAACATCTCCGCCCCCTGATCTCCAACCCTACACATCTCCGCCCCCTAATCCCTAACCCCACCCCTTATCCTACCCATCTCCGCCCCCTGATCCCTAACCCTACCCATCTCCACCCCCTGATCCCTAACCTTACACATCTCCGCCCCCTGATCCCTAACCCTACACATCTCCGCCCCCTGATCCCTAACCCTACACATCTCCGCCCCCTGATCTCCAACCCTACACATCTCCGCCCCCTAATCCCTAACCCCACCCCTTATCCTACCCATCTCCACCCCCTGATCCCTAACTCTACACATCTCCGCACCCTAATCCCTAACCCCACCCCTTATCCTACCCATCTCCACCCCCTGATCCCTAACTCTACACATCTCCGCACCCTAATTCCTAACCCCACCCCTTATCCTACCCATCTCCACCCCCTGATCCCTAACCCTACCCATCTCCACCCCCTGATCCCGAACCCTACCCATCTCCACCCCCTGATCCCTAACCCTACACATCTCCGCCCCCTAATCCCTAACTCTACACATCTCCGCCCCCTGATCCCTAACCCCACCCCTTATCCTACCCATCTCCACCCCCTGATCCCTAACCCTACCCATCTCCGCCCCCTGATCCCTAACCCTACACATCTCCGCTCCCTGATCCCTAACCCCACCCCTTATCCTACCCATCTCCACTCCCTGATCCCTAACCCTACACATCTCCGCCCCCTGATCCCTAACCCTACACATCTCCGCCCCCTGATCCCTAACCCTACACATCTCCGCCCCCTGATCCCTAACCCCACCCCTTATCCTACCATCTCCACCCCTGATCCCTAACCCTACACATCTCCGCCCCCTGATCCCTAACCCTAAACATCTCCGCCCCCTGATCCCTAACTCTACACATCTCGGCCCCCTGATCCCTAACACTACACATCTCGGCCCCCTGATCCCTAACCCAACCCATCTCCAACCCCCTGATCCCTAATCCCTAACCTTAAACATCTCCGCCCCCTGATCCCTAACCCCACCCCTTATCCTACCCATCTCCACCCCCTGATCCCTAACCTTACCCATCTCCACCCCCTGATCCCTAATCCCTAACCTTAAACATCTCCGCCCCCTGATCCCTAACCCCACCCCTTATCCAACCCATCTCCACCCCCTGATCCCTAATCCCTACCCATCTCCACCCCCTGATCCCTAACCCTAAACATCTCCGCCCCCTGATCCCTAACCCTACACATCTCCGCCCCCTGATCCCTAACCCTACACATCTCCACCCCTGATCCCTAACCCTAAACATCTCCGCCCCCTGATCCCTAACCCTACACATCTCCGCCCCCTGATCTCCAACCCTACACATCTCCGCCCCCTAATCCCTAACCCCACCCCTTATCCAACCCATCTCCACCCCCTGATCCCTAACTCTACACATCTCCGCCCCCTAATCCCTAACCCCACCCCTTATCCTACCCATCTCCACCCCCTGATCCCTAACCCTACACATCTCCACCCCCTGATCCCTAACCCTACACATCTCCGCCCCCTGATCCCTAACCCCACCCCTTATCCTACCCATCTCCACCCCCTGATCCCTAACCCTACCATCTCCGCCCCCTGATCCCTAACCCTACACATCTCCGCTCCCTGATCCCTAACCCCACCCCTTATCCTACCCATCTCCACCCCCTGATCCCTAACCCTACACATCTCCGCCCCCTGATCCCTAACCCTACACATCTCCGCCCCCTGATCCCTAACCCTACACATCTCCGCCCCCTGATCCCTAACCCCACCCCTTATCCTACCCATCTCCACCCCCTGATCCCTAACCCTACACATCTCCGCCCCCTGATCCCTAACCCTAAACATCTCCGCCTCCTGATCCCTAACCCTAAACATCTCCGCCCCCTGATCCCTAACTCTACACATCTCGGCCCCCTGATCCCTAACACTACACATCTCGGCCCCCTGATCCCTAACCCCACCCCTTATCCTACCCATCTCCACCCCCTGATCCCTAACTCTACACATCTCCGCACCCTAATTCCTAACCCCACCCCTTATCCTACCCATCTCCACCCCCTGATCCCTAACCCTACCCATCTCCACCCCCTGATCCCGAACCCTACCCATCTCCACCCCCTGATCCCTAACCCTACACATCTCCGCCCCCTAATCCCTAACTCTACACATCTCCGCCCCCTGATCCCTAACCCCACCCCTTATCCTACCCATCTCCACCCCCTGATCCCTAACCCTACCCATCTCCGCCCCCTGATCCCTAACCCTACACATCTCCGCTCCCTGATCCCTAACCCCACCCTTATCCTACCCATCTCCACTCCCTGATCCCTAACCCTACACATCTCCGCCCCCTGATCCCTAACCCTACACATCTCCGCCCCCTGATCCCTAACCCTACACATCTCCGCCCCCTGATCCCTAACCCCACCCCTTATCCTACCCATCTCCACCCCCTGATCCCTAACCCTACACATCTCCGCCCCCTGATCCCTAACCCTAAACATCTCCGCCCCCTGATCCCTAACTCTACACATCTCGGCCCCCTGATCCCTAACACTACACATCTCGGCCCCCTGATCCCTAACCCAACCCATCTCCAACCCCCTGATCCCTAATCCCTAACCTTAAACATCTCCGCCCCCTGATCCCTAACCCCACCCCTTATCCTACCCATCTCCACCCCCTGATCCCTAACCTTACCCATCTCCACCCCCTGATCCCTAATCCCTAACCTTAAACATCTCCGCCCCCTGATCCCTAACCCCACCCCTTATCCAACCCATCTCCACCCCCTGATCCCTAATCCCTACCCATCTCCACCCCCTGATCCCTAACCCTAAACATCTCCGCCCCCTGATCCCTAACCCTACACATCTCCGCCCCCTGATCCCTAACCCTACACATCTCCACCCCCTGATCCCTAACCCTAAACATCTCCGCCCCCTGATCCCTAACCCTACACATCTCCGCCCCCTGATCTCCAACCCTACACATCTCCGCCCCCTAATCCCTAACCCCACCCCTTATCCAACCCATCTCCACCCCCTGATCCCTAACTCTACACATCTCCGCCCCCTAATCCCTAACCCCACCCCTTATCCTACCCATCTCCACCCCCTGATCCCTAACCCTACACATCTCCACCCCCTGATCCCTAACCCTACACATCTCCGCCCCCTGATCCCTAACCCCACCCCTTATCCTACCCATCTCCACCCCTGATCCCTAACCCTACCCATCTCCGCCCCCTGATCCCTAACCCTACACATCTCCGCTCCCTGATCCCTAACCCCACCCCTTATCCTACCCATCTCCACCCCCTGATCCCTAACCCTACACATCTCCGCCCCCTGATCCCTAACCCCACCCCTTATCCTACCCATCTCCACCCCCTGATCCCTAACCCTACACATCTCCGCCCCCTGATCCCTAACCCTAAACATCTCCGCCTCCTGATCCCTAACCCTAAACATCTCCGCCCCCTGATCCCTAACTCTACACATCTCGGCCCCCTGATCCCTAACACTACACATCTCGGCCCCCTGATCCCTAACCCTACCCATCTCCACCCCCTAATCCCTAACCCCACCCCTAAACCTAAAATAAAAAAGTTTTAGTGTAAATATGCCCTAAGGCTTTTATTACCAACTTGCATTCGAACGCTTACCATGATATCATCTTCTGCTACAAGAGTGCAGAGGCCTAGACTTGTTGCACACTGGAACACAAAGTCAAGATCGACAGATTGTTACAGTCAAATTTTCTGGATTGCAGAATCATTTTATTTCCTATAAAGGCGCAGTAGAGGAACACGACTGTTTACCGCTTGTCTGGCTTGGATGTTAGCAGCTCCATCATTGAGGATAGTCTTAAATACAGGTCTAAGGGTTTTAAAAACCTCTTCGCTCTCAATCCCAGAACCCAGCTGGATGCACAGGAGACACGCCAGCGAGGCTGCGGCGCACTGCTCCACTCCTTTACCTGGTTTGCAGACGCAAACAGCCAGCTCAACTTTCAGCACTGATGTCATGGCAACATCTGAAGAAAACGGTTTATTTCCAATTATTCAAAATCCCAAATGAAACCAACCTTTCTTCAAGCAGCGCTCAATGCCATCCGTGATGGTCATCCTTCTCTCAGAAATGAACTCGTAGAGGATTTTGGTTGCCATGGCAGTTTTTAGTCCATCAAGGGCACCTTGTCTGGTCTTGGCACTAGAAGGGGAACATAATTACCCAGTTCAGAACGCAGGAGCAACTACAAGTTTGATTCTGAAATCTGAAAGAACACAAACCTCTTATCCACTGTGCTGTCAATGTACACCTTCAGTTTGTACTGGAAGTCCTCTTGAGCCATTTCTTCACTTTCACCAGCTGTCAAATAGGATGAGTGATAAGCATAAATGTTCATCTCTAATATATCTAATGCCACAAAAAGCCCACAAGAGCCAATGCAGAAATCTAAGGAGACTGTAAATACATGCCTTCCTCTGCTGCACTGGTTCTTTCACTGAGGCTGCTGCAGTGACTGAGGGTCTCGATAGAAGAGTCTTCATCACTGAACGGCTGGACATTTCCCTGTTGTCCCCCTGCAAAAACAGACAGCAAACTTTAACATTTGTTGACGCCCCCTCATTCTTTAATAACAACCCCTTTGCATAGATGCATTACATAGTGACGGTTTCAGATTAATGCTAAAAATGTGCCAATAAAACAGATACAGTCAGACTTAAATGATGAGGAATCATTTATTTATGCACTGTATTCTGTAGGCCCAGGGATTTGATGGGACTTTATGCAGAGCAGAGTAATCCAAACAGAATATTAGAGTATAGACTATTAGAATATTAGAGTATATATCACAGTTTTGGGTTTTACTTTAAAAAACGTAATTAATTACTAGCTACTAATTACATCGTAGACAGTGTAATTAGATTACTGTACTAATTACTCACTATGAAAAGGATGACTTATTAATGTAATTTTTCTTTCTCATTTTAGCCCTAAATGCTGACCAACCCTGTAATGGCACTTACAGAGAAGTTTGTTTTCCAAATAATTTCAGGTGGTAATATGTTGTGGGTGGAGGTCACTTTGACCTTAAAGAACCATCAAGTCTTTCAATGTGTATAGTGAATTTGGCATCCTTCCTGGAAAATGCAGATATCTGCAGCAGGTACAAAGTGTCTCGTACTGTTGTTGGGCAAGGTCAGAGGACACTTATGTAAACAAAACAGCCCCTGTGTGAGATTTCTCAGACAAAAGTAAATATGTTTAGCAGATATAGAAGAGTACAGTGGGTATACAGACAGAAAAACGTGTGGTATGGTGTGAAGGAGAACAGCAGGGTGCCAGAACACAGTCTCTCTCTTTTTCTCAAAGGTTTGTGCAAAACCAGCGAGCAGATGGACTGAGAACATGTAATAACAGACTATGGACTGATTAGATTTACACGTCTAGTCCACAGCTGAAAAATTTGGGCTTCGTGTTCCTGGTTTCTTCTTCCTGTTCTCTATTTGGTCCCAAAACAGGCCTCTGTTATATAAGTGTGACAGCATGGCCTGAAATAACCTCAAACACACACTGACATCCGACAATGAAAACCATTACAGAAGCGTTTTCCTATTTGACATTTCATAACAAATATCAATTCAATTTATTTATTAATCTTAAGCACAATCAATCATATTTTGAGTTGAATCACCGGATTAGATTATTTGGTTATTAATTAATCATAGTGTATACCGTATAACTATAATCTTAATTCCATCCGTTTTTCGTCGTTTGATAAATGGCATTAATATGACAAGCGGTTTATAGAAACCCAATTATTTAAAACTAAACATTACCTTAAAAAAAAACACACATCATATTTAAAAACACCACAAACGTACATTTTCGATCGTCCATGGCTCACAATTTGTATTATTCTTTTGTTTGTGTCAAAAGAAAGACACTCCTGGCTGTCAACCAAACCAGCTGTGTAGTCATGGAAATTGTAGTTCCCGTCCTCCGATTTCATTGCGATTCGCCGCGTAAAGAACTACAAATCCCAACATCCTTTTCGCGCAGTAGGCCACAAAAAACAACCGGTCATTTGCAGACCTTCCCAGACTTACCTCTGCCGCTCCTTTTCTTGGCCCGTGGCATCTTGCTTAAATTAGTAGTTCCACAGCTTAAAAATCAACCAATACACGACCAGTTTTTACTATAATGTCTTTTCAGTTGAGTATATTCCAGTGGCACAGTGAAAAGGAAAGAATTAAAAGCGATTCCGGTGTTACACTTGGAGCGCGAGTGATACATTTTCCCTGACAAAGTAGGGCTGCGTCAGCGCGCTGCCGCGGAGCACTTTTATACGACCAGTTGTGACGTGCCTAAAAAGGCGTTACCTCACTTGGACCTGGATACAGTAGGACCAATCACATTACAGTATACGCCGACGTCCTCACCTTGACAGACTTCCGCCTGGTTTGTATTGGTTGGTTTGTGCTGTCACGTCCTCATGCGGGTTCACGTGTGCACGTTACAAATAATACAACACATGTAATGGCGGATTATAATTATATATATGTCTTCAGTTGTATTTGTTTTTTAAACTGATTTTGTTGTTTTTACCTTGTTCCAAATCCAATCGATAAATCCTGATTAATTGATGCATGTATATCGACTATTTCACATTTTATAGACTATAAAAAATAGATTTACCAGACAAATCAAATATACAGTAATTTTGAATTTGATTAACTTAATGAGAGTGTAAAATATGTCTTTAAGAGTTTATGTTATAAAGCTCACAGGACCCATAGTTGAAGAAACATCTGAGTATAACATTTCTGTAGTGCATGTGATGAAAGTCTTACAAGATAAAAGTCATGAAGAAAATGAATACTGATTGATTGAACAAGGTAGTTTTCATCAGTAAACACTCCTCTAACCACGTGCAACGGATAATGCAAGTGTAGATTGTGCTGTTTTTCTGCACGTGGGTTATCAGTGCAACAGGTTCAAGGCAACTCTGACATTTTGACCAGTTGGCTGGCAAAAGCACTGTGACCTGCTGCATGTCTAAAGCCTTGTTAAGATAAATCATTAATTCAGCTTGAAATAGACAATTCCTATTTCTTATGGTATTTTGCTGTTTTATTATAAATGATTAAACTATGTGCATCATCATTATCTTTAATTAAAATAACTCCCCCTCCCTCTTGCGGTAACATCTCTTTTTTTCTCTGATGACACGTTTACTGGCACGAGGGTGGGACAACCTGTCACTCATATGAGATCGACCAATAGCAAACCACACGGATCTAATGATCCAATCAATTCCGATGAACAAAATCCAAGTCCCGCCCTAAAAAAATGTCTTGTTACACACTATATCACAATATAGTGAAGAAAAGACTATTGCAACTTCGGTTTCATTCTGACTTTAAAAATATGAAATATATTATATTAGTGTTTTACATTTCCTTGCCCAAGAAGTGACCGATTTCAGCCGCAGCTTCAAATCTACTCATTATGTAGGGGGCGGAGCTTCAGATTCTCGAGAGCATTTGATTGGACAGAAAATCTGTTGAGAAGCTGAAGTGCAGTGTGATGTCATCAAAATCATTTATTCATATCGGTGGAAGTGAGACTATAAGCTCTGAATGCTTATATCTTCTAAATGTGAATTCTGTCATTGTTTTGGAGCACACTATATTCATACTAAAAGCCAACTTGATTTTTGATTACATGGGGACTTTAATGGGGACTCAAAGAAAGGACACTAGAGGGTGCTCTTTCAAAATAATTGCACACAATAACAGTTTCCAGTGATCTGATATTGTTGCATTATGTATAAAGGGATTCTTTTGATGATTCAAGATCAGTCAAATCAAATGTAGGTGACACTTATTGAACGCAATCCCATTATTTGAAAAAGCCGACCCAAAGAGAATATTGATATTGCTTTTCCTGACCTTTAGACTGCCTGGGATTTAGATTAACATTGTGTAAAAGGTTTATATTTTAAAATAATTATACTAATATAGGATTATAAACATACATTCTTCTTCTAACACTATTAGAATAATCATTCAAATTTGTTAATTATGTTCTCAAAACATGAGCACAAAAATGTTATTTATACGTCGTTCATGGAGGTTCATCTGACATTTTTTATATTAATATTCTCTTTTTCAGGATGTTCATTCAAAAGTAACGTCCCCATAATGATAAAATGGTATGTTTCCTCAACATTTGCATTAACCAAGACAGTGAACGTTCAGAAACATGCAAGTTAACAAAACGTTCTCACCTATACATTTTTGTAAGTTCACAAGTACAGAGAGGAACTGAAATTAGTTATGAATGGGTGTTGGGTCTAAATATATATTCATCCCATATGTAAACTCTGTTGAATAATTGATAACACACCATGAGGGGCTGCGCAGGGGGTCAGTGAATAACACACTGCTGATAGAAATCAAAAGATGGCTCCGTAACTCAACAAGCTGCTGCTGGTTTGATGTGCTTTTTTATGTTCTTTAAAATCTTTTTAAGTCAGGTGTACTTGAAGGCATCTCAGCGTGCTAATGCAATAGGCTATTTACAATGCAAGTACTTTCAGTTAATTCTATATTTGTATTATTAAAACTAAAGAAACATTGCTTTTTTCTGCTTGTTTGATATTTTAGCAGCCATTATGGTCTTTTTCTTTTTAAAATGATGTTCAAAAGCCGTGTGATGTAGATTTTCAATTGCTTTGATTGCTCTTTACTGTATTTATTATTTGACAGATGATATACCCAACCGGTATGCTTACTTACCAGAATACATGATGAGCATGAGGTGAAAGGAAAGAACAGATTGCATGAGGTGTTTGCCAATTCAGTGGTGTGTGAAGGTTTCACACAAACGCACAGGTTAGGTGTTTCAAATGAGCTGATGATCATCTTTTCATGCTTTTAGGCCCTTTTCAAATGAATATTTCGACATTACTGTATATCAAAGTGCTTTTAAATATTTGAACATGCTGCATCACTGGATGGTCGAATCGCTTCAGAAAGGTCATGGTGTATCAATTGATTTATGTTTATTAAAGTCACCATTAAATTAACAGTGATAGTTCTTCATTTTAATGCAATATAAATGATTATTTTTATTTTTTTAAATTCATGTGCACTCGTAATTATTAATCAAAACATCTTCCCCTCCCTCTTCCAATACATCTCGTCGCTTCTCTGATGACCCGTTTACTGGCGCGAGGGCGGAGTAACCTGTCACTCACAGGAGATCAACCAATAGCAAAGCACTACCATCCTACAGTTTTTCTTGTTCAGAAGTCGTCATATATGGCACAAGAGGTAAGAAAAGACTATTATAACTTTAAAATAAACCCTTATATAGGGGTTTGATCTGAAACATGAAGACTATGACTATTTTATGCAAATGTTTTGTTTTCTGTTCATTCATCTGCTGTTAAATTGTGATGGAAAAAATATATGAGATGGGAGGAAAAAGTTTGTTTCAATGCTTATCACAAATGTTTTTCATTCACTCGAAGTTTCGACACTCAAAAAAAGAGTCGACAAGTAAATATTTCTCATGTCATAGGCCTATCTCATATTTTTTTCCTTCATGTGTCCATAATTACTCCCCACATGATTCTACCAGCAAAAATCAAACCCATTCTCCAACATTATGTTCGGACAACCTAATACACTAAATAAAAATACATCAAGCAGGTGCAGTAATTAATGAACCCTGACTTTTGAGTGTGGTATTTCGATTTCAAATCTGCTATTGTCGTTCAAGAAATAAAATAGAGGCTAGTGAGATTTTTATTCTCTTATGCTTCATGTTTTATCACTAGGGGGCTGTGATGAAACAAACAGACCAGCTGTCTGCATGCGAGGCGGCAGCATTAACATTTTCATTGTCTGTTTTTTGTTTTGTTGATGAGAGTACAAAATGTTGTCTTGGCAGAAGGTGATCCTTGGCAGCATTTTCCCGATCATTTTCCCGGTTCCCACTCCTCATGCTGTTTTTCCTGGCATTGATTTAGACACTTTAAACTTTGGGTAGACGATTGAATGAATTTCATTTCCTCATCCACTTCCTCTGCCTCTAACTTTTTTCCCCATTCTTTGTTGATGCCTTGATGAACATAAATGCGTTAAGACTTCTTCCGGAAGAGTTTATTCAGCCACACGGGTCACAGATGTCAAACTTTATCTCAGCATACCAAGAAGCAGGGTTACTTTATCAGATATACTTTGAGTTTGGGGGGTTTGGATTAAATTATACATTCTCATTTTCTTGACAAAGCTCTTTGAGTATGACTAAGCAAATATGCTGATATATTATGCTCAGTGCCAACACTAAATCAGATTAACGGAGATCATGTGTCATCGGTTCTCCTCAAACTCCTGAAAGGGATAGTTCACTTTGAAATTAATTTTTGGTATGTTTTAGTTTACCTCAACTGCATCCAAGATGTAGGTGTCTTTGTTTCCACAGTTTCAATTTTGATATTTTTAGGCCCAACCGTTCGTGTCTGTCAGTCACTCAAAGAGCAAGCACAGAGAAGTCCAAATTAAACATGATTTAATGACTCGTAAATGTAAGAACACGTAAATGGCCTAAGACACGAAACGAGCGGTTTGTGTGAGAAAACGAACTCTAGATAAGTTTGGTGTTGATAAACCTATACACACTAGTCTAAGAAATAGATGCCTAGCCTTGGTGGATGTGCATGTATCCTGTGACTTCACCATGCTATTGTGAATATAAATTTGCTCATTGAGTCTCCTGTCTCTTTGCTGAGGGCCAAGGTTACCTTGCTTTGACTGCTCTGGGTTGCGTGACTACCGTCATCTGGTGCAGTTCAGCACTTCATGCACTTCTCTCTTTTTTCTCATTGCTGCCCTTGTCATGTCTTTCTGCTGACCCACAGAAAAGGGAGGTTTGTCTTTGGAGTGTGAGAAGGAAAAGGCAGACTGATTGATCTTGCAGTATAACCACGAATCTCAGCCACCATGCGATCATGTTCCCCGAAACAACATGATGAAAATAAAAATTACGCAGATCTGAAAAACACGTGTGCTTGTAAAAACAGTATTCCACACGCATTAAGGACAATTTCAGCAACATGAAGTGGTCAGGCCCTGTCGAATCTGTATGTTTTTTTCCATTACTTTGAAAACCACATCATCTGACAAGACCGCCTGTCTGTATAGAACAGTGCCACCAGGCAGACCACAAGATTTCTGCGTTCTTTCAGAGCAGGTCTGTGTCTTCTCCAATGACTTGATGCCCCAGTACTGACAGCACGGAGCGGCCCATCACAATGT